GCGGAGATCTTCGTGGAAGCCGAGCCGGAGATCAATGGCGTCGCGGTGCCCGCGACGCCAGCCAGCGGCGCGACCGGCAGACCCCGGGGGGCCAGCTGGCGCACCGCTTCCCGAGTCGGCGAGAGCGGAAGAACCAGGTGCAGGATATCAAGGGGCAGTGGGCACGGGGGCGGACGTCGAGGAGTTGCAGCAAAGGCCCGAGATGGAGGTGGCCCCCGTGGGCCCGAGGCGCGAGGTGCCGATGGAGGTTGGCGCGTAGACTGCCGCGACGAAGGATGGGGTGCTATATGTGTGCGAGGAAATCGAGCCCAAGGTTTATTGCGGGAAGATGGTGGGCGTTTACCGGGGAGTCACAGACCGGGGAGTGACAGACAAGATGGGCGCGGCGTCATGATTTGGTCAGAGACGGGGAGATGGTGGTTGCAAAGTAGGGGCGAATGGGGCTGGCGGCAGACGCCGGGGCGGAGCAGATGGACCGCGAGACGCTCGTGAAGCACGGGAACGTACTCGGGCTGGTGAGTATGAACGAGACTACGTTCATGTAGCCAGAAGTGCTACTGAAGGTTTGGGCAGTCACGTGCAAGTCCCATTCCAAGTTCCACAACTACGCCGATGAGAGATGCCAGCCGCTCGGAGAGAAGTGGCGGGGAGCTCGGTGAATGAAGGCGCGCGCAACCTTCATGGCGTTGAGAAGCCCATGGGGATGACCGCCGCGGAGCCTGCTCAACCCCCGAGGTGGGGGCGCGCAAGTGATGGGAGTATTGGATGATGAGCAGCTGTTTTCTGCCATGGCAGGTGCTGTTGTTGAGTGGAATTGAGAAGGAAGACCAGACGTGCTCGTTCGTGGATCAAGGGGCCCGGAATTGCGAATCATCCCGCGCGCATGAGGGGCGCGGCCAAGAAAGGGCGCCGGTTTTCCGGGGGGGGCCAGCCCGCGGCAGGAGACCCCGGGCGGGCAGGCGCCCCCGGGCGCGAGGGTCATAGCCCTGGAGCAGGGGCCGCGCCGACACGCATGGGAGGAGGGGGGCGCCAGGGGACAAGACGGGTACTGGCCCGCCAGGGCTGGCGGGCAGTGGCGCGCGGCCAGAACGGGGCGTGCCGGTGCCGGTTGCGGGCGCACCATCTTGTTTGGATGGCGCGCCTGTGTGGGGGCACTTGTGGCGCACCAGGCTGGCGCGCAGCAGGTTGGGGGAACGCTGGCGGGGCACCCTGGCGCACCGCCAGGGGTGGGCGGCGCGCAAATGGCCAGGGCGGCGGGCGCCCCTCGGCGGCGAGCGCCCCTTCCGCGAAAACGCGCGCGATCCCCGTAGGCACTCAGGGAAACGCCACAGTTTGCAGTCGGCGGCCTCTCTTTGGTCAGGCGTTTCGTGCGCCTCCTGGTTTTTTGGTTGTTGCCCGCGTGGTCCCGCCGACAAGGTTCCAGCCTAGGGTCTTAGGCTGGTTGCCCTGGGCATGTTTGTTATGGTGTTTGCCGATGGGTTTTGGCCACAGGACAGCGCGTTCTGTGGTCGCTTGGAGGGGGAGTGTTTGAATCCCGACCACCCCCCACTTGGATGGAAGGGGGGGGGTTCGAAGCCCCCCTCTCTCCCTTCCTCCCCTGCTTCCCCTCCTCTCCTCGGGCCGGCGCTTGCGTCGGCGGCGGCTGGCGGCGGCGGCGGGGACGACGATTTCCTTTTCTGGGCCGGCGCCGGCGCCTGCGGCGGCGGGTGGCGGCGGCGGGGAGCGTCGACGAGGACGGTGGTGGTGGTGGTCGTGGTGGGTTGTGGTGGTGATGGTGGCGGTGGTGGTGGTTGTTGTGGTGGTCGTGTGGTGCTTTGTTGTGGTGGTGGTGGTGGTGGTTGTGGTGGTGGGTGGTGGTGGTGGTGGTTTGGTGGTGGTGTGGTGGTGGTTTGTGGTGGTGTGGTGGTGGTGGTGGGTTGTGGTGGTGGTGGTGGTGGTTTGGTGGCGGTGTGGTGGTGGTTTGGTGGTGGTGGTGGTGGGTTGTGGTGGAGGCGTTGGTTTGTGGAGGTGGTGCTGGTGGTGGTGGTGGCGTTGTTGGTGGTGTGGTTGTTTGTGGTGGTGGTGGTGGGTTGTGCTGCTAGTAGTGGTGGTGGTTCTGGCGGTGGTGGTTTGTGGTGGTGATGGTGGCGGTGGTGGTGGTTGTGGTGGTGGTGGTGGTGGTTGGTAAATTGTGGTCGTGGTGGTGTTCGTGGAGGTGGGCTTTTGTGGTGGTGGTGGTGATGGTGAGTTGTGGTGGTGTGGTGGTGGTGTGGTGGTGGTTTGTGGTGGTGGTGGTGGTGGGTTGTGGTGGTGGCAGTGGTTTGTGGACGTGGTGCTGGTGGTGGTGGCGGTGGTGGTGGTGGTGTGGTGGCTTGTGATGGTGGCGGTGGGTTGTGCTGCTAGTAGTGGTGGTTTTTGTGGCGGTGGTGGTGGTGGTGTGGTAAATTGTGGTGGTGGTGGTAGTTGTGGTGGTGGGTTTTTGTGGTGGTGGTGATGGTGAGTTGTGGTGGTGGTTGTGGTGGTGGTGGTGGCTGTGGTGGTGGTGGTGGTTGTGTGGTGGGTTGTTGGTGGTGGTGGTGGGTTGAGGCGGTAGTTGTGGTGGTAGTGGTGGCGGTGGTGGTAGTGGTGATAATCGTCGCTGCGTCTCCTCCGTCGGTGGCGCCAGCGCCGGTGCTGCTGGCCGCTGCCAGCGCCGGCAGCGCCGGCGCTGCGCCGGCGCCAGGTGGTGGGAGGGGTTTGAACACCCTCCCCCCTTCGGGCTGCCTCTGGTTATCGTCGCTGCGTCCCCGCCGTCGGCGCTGGTTTTGATCGACGGCGCCGAGTGTTGGGGGGGGCACCCCCAGTTCGAAACGCGCCGCCGAATGTTCCCGAAGCAAGCGCCCGTGAAACGCGTTCTCTCGGCCATAGGGTACCAGCTCAAGCCGCTGCGCCATCCCTCTTGAAGTGTTGTGGGCCTGGTTGCGGCTAGGAAACCTTGGAAAGCTTGGGAAGAGCCCCTTGGAGGCATCGGGGCGCTCAGGAAATCTCAGGATGGTGGCGATGCATGCGTGCTGCACGTTGTGTCGAGAGGGGGGGCTTTCTTTCAGGAGGTTACATAACTCCTTTCAGGCAGCACTTGGCAGTCTACAGTCGCTCAACGTGCCCGGGGGTACGGTGGCGGATGAGGAATGTCTTCCGAGAAAGCGGTGGGATCAACATGCCATTTGATTTTCGCCTCGTGCGCCTTCTCCTCGAACTCCAGCTATTCCTCTTCGTTCTCCTCGCTCTCGCCCTCCTCCGCCGCCTCACCCCACCGGAGGCCCTCGACAGTGGTATTGCACCGATGATCGAGGTGAAAGACATGGTTTCCCGCTCACTGGGCCCGCTCGTGAAGCCCAGCGCATACGACACGTCCCGCGGTGTGGTCGATGACTACGGCCTGTACGCAGTGGTTGCGCTGATCCTCCTCGCGGTGGTGCTCGCATCAACGGGCTCGTTGGCGGTGCTCGCCTTCATCTGTTCCAAGGATCGAAGAGGAGATAACGGCATGACCGTACATTTTTGGGAGTCCGTGCGGAGTTCCCAAAGTTGATGTCCATGTTTGCATTTGCTGCTCTACAGGAGACCACCAGAATATCCATTGGTGCCACCACCAAACACGTTTCCAGAAGCGCAACGGCGCGTCACTGCGCCTGCTGCACGTGGTGCTGCGGCTGGCTGTTCACCTTGGTCGCAGTCCTCTTTTTGCTAGCCATCCTGCTTCTCCATTTCCTCCTCATCCTTTTGCTGCTTCTGTTATTCCTCCTGCACCTCTTTCGCCACGTCCTGCCTCCCCTATCTCCTCCACGTCCCTTCTCTTTGGTCTTCGAATCCCTTCAAATCCCTTACACCACCCAGCCGAAGGCTGCCAAACAGCGCGAGCAAGGACACGACACGGCGGTGCACGGCACCGAACGGATCTACCTCATAGGGACACGGCACGGAGAGGCACGGTGCGGAACAGATGCACCAGTTGGCGACACGGCGCGGCGTTGCACGGAGCGGCGCAGCACCGAACGAGACCGTGATTTGGCGGTACGATACCGCCTGGAACGGATGCGCGAGGTGGCAACATGGCATGGCACGATGCGGCACGTCACGGACAGGCACCGCACGGCCTCGCGAGGCGGTGGCACGGCATCGCACAACACGCCACGCATCTTTGATTTGGAGCCTGCACGGCATGGCGTGGCACCAGACGGCTTCTCTGCGGCTTCGCGAGCTTGCGCGGCACGGCGCGGCGCGCACCTGCGAGCTGCCCACGCGGCACGGCACGGCACGGCACCGCTCGGCACCGCGAGCGCGGCACGGCTCCGCGAGCGCCTGCTCGTGCCAGCGGCCCGACGCGGCTCGCCACGGCACGGAACGCACTCGCGACCGGCCGACATCACATTCTCCGCCACGGCACGGCACGGCACGGCCCCGAACGGACTCGTGGCTTGGCGACTCGGCGTGGCACGGCACGGCGCCGCGCGGTGCGGACCCGCGCGGCTCCGCGAGCTGGCCGGCCCGGCGCGGCAGGGCACGGTGCGGCGCGTGCCCAGCAGAGCCACGAGCTGTCGATCTGCGGACGTATTATATCTCGTGGTCTACCTGTGGCACTCGTGGTTCGGAGAAGACGTCTTCTCGTCCTCTTCCTCCACGCCTCGTGCTCGCGGTTCCCCTCCTGCTCCGCTGCGTGCACCCGCCTTCCTTCTGCCACTGGTTCTTCCATCTTCCCATCCGTCGCTCTTCCTCCTTCATCCGCCCTCCTCCCTCCTCTCTCCTGTCTCCCCCTTCCTGCCCATCGCATCTTCCCTGCCTCTTACCTCTGCCACCTCTCACCTGCTCCTGTCTCCGTTCAGCGCTATCTTCCTCGTGTTCCAACCCCCCCCCGTTTCTACACTCATCCCTCTCCTCGGCCACTATCTTCCTTTTCCTTCCTCCTCCTCCCCCTGGTCGCTTTCTTTGCTGGTGGGCTTCTGATGCTAATCAGTGTTCCATTCAGCAGCGTGTGTATCATCATGGACGACCTCAGTAGGGATCTGCTCAACGACATGGCGGGATCCTTGGGCATGGACCTCAAAGGAGACGATGGCGTGATGATGACCGACATAGTAGTGGAGTGTTTCAATCCTGCGGACGAGAACGCAAATCCAAATCTCCTGGACCTTATATTCACGAGGAACGACCAGGGGGACAAGGAGACGATCAGGGAGCAGTTGATCTCGCAGGTGGGCGACGGAGCGGGGGGAGGGGGAAACAGGGAGAGAGGGAAAAGGAGGAACAGAAGTGGGACAGGGTGGAGAGGAGGATGAGGAGGATTATCACAAAGTGTACTACATGTACATGGCAACATACAAGGCAGGTGCCACGTCGCGAGTGGCGCGGACGATGTGACTGGCACGCTCCTCCCTACCATACCCTTAAGTCGGGCATGCCCCTCTACAGGAGGAATATTCAAACATGGTCTGGGGACGATGTTTCGATCACGTCTTGACTCTGAGTGAACCCTTTTTGACCACATCAAATTTTTCGTCCAGCGTCCGCCTGCAGGAGGACAGGCCCGACCTGACCCTCACACCCCCCTTACGGGGCGTGAGAACGACCACAGCCACTGCTTTCCTTTTGTTGCCGCCTTCCAGCCCGCAGAAACAAGGCAGTGGCTGTGGTCATTTTCGCTGAGCTCGGCACCAGGGAAATGACCACAACCGCTGCTTCTTCTTCGGCCGGCTGGAAGGCGGCGCAAACAAGAAGCAGCTCCTCATCATCCTCCTCATCCTCCTCCTCATCCGCCGCCTCCTCCTTCTCATCATCAGCACCATTATAGTCATCCTCCTCCTCCTCCTCCTCATCTTGGTCCTCATCCTCGTCCTCCTCCTCCTCCTCGTCCTCCTCCTCCGCCTCATCCTCCTCCTCCTCCTCATCTTCCTCCTCATCCTCGTCGTCCTCCTCCTCCTCCTCCTCGTCCTCCTCCTCCGCCTCCTCCTCCTCCTCCTTCTTCCTCCTCATCCTCGTCCTCCTCCTCCTCCTCCTCGTCCTCCTCCTCCGCCTCATCAACCTCCTCCTCCTCCTCCTCCCCTCCCCCCGGGGGAAGCCCTCGCCGACCGCGCTTCTTCGAGGCTGCCGTGAGGAGCGCGCGCTCCCCGCGCGCGCGCTCCATTTAAGCGCGCTCCCGCGCGCTGCCGGGGCGCGGCGCGGTCCGGAAGCGGGGCCGCGCCGCGCAGCTTCGAGGGGGGGGAGAGAGAGAGTGTTGACTGTACATGCTAATCTGTAGCCCCTTGGTCCAAGTAAAAACCATCGACATGGTAGCGGAGCGGCGTGGGTTCGTTCCCGCTGCCGCTTCCCTTCCAGCCACCCGCGGCGGGCGCGCGCGCCCGCGATAGGGCAGCGGCGGGGGCCGCGCCCTGGCGGCTGGCAGCGGCGAGGGCCGCGCCAGCCGGCCCTTCATAGCCCAGCACGCCGCCGAAGAAGAAGAAGACGAAGCGTGGCTCGAGGTCGAACAAGGCAGACATCCTGAGGAGTAGGAAGTTCGACGAGAAGCCCGATCTGAAGTATGGAAGAGATCGAGAGACGCTTCCAGGCGCTCGAGGGAGCGTTGCAGGCTGCAGAACAACGGGTGCAGGCTGCAGAGGAGCGCGCCCTGGCGGCGGAGTCAGCAGCAGCGAGCGCAGGCGCCGCCGCGAGCAGGCCCGTGGCAGCGGCGAGGGCCGCGCCTCAGGATCTGGTGGACACTCGGCTTCTGGCGAAGCCGAAGGCGTTCGGAGGCAACGAGGACGAGTGGCCAGGGTGGAGCTTCAAGATGCTCGCATACCTCGGAGCTCTCGACGAGCAGATGGCCAACGAGCTGACGGCGGCCATGACGTTCCCGCTGGAGGAAGTGAGGAACGCGAGACTCCTGGAGGAGGGAGCGAGTCAGCGCAGTCGCCAGCTGTACTTCATCCTCGTCCTGCTGCTGGAAGGAGCCGCACTACAGCTCATCAAGCCAGTCGGCGTCGGAGAAGGGTATCGGGCGTGGAGGACGTTGCAAGACATGTACGAGCCCGACAGACCAGGTCGCCATGCAGGACTGCTGCAAGAGCTGATCGCGTTCCAGTTCCCAGAGGACAACATCGTGGGGATGCTGGCGGACTTCGACTTCAAAGTCACGAAGTACGAGAGCCAGAGCCACGAGAGGATTGGGGACAGGATCAAGATGGCGATCCTTCAGCGGGGGATTCAGGACGAGGCTCTTCGAGCGCACCTGGTCCACAACGCGTCGAGGCTAGTCACGTGGGAGCTCATGCGCAACGAAGTGCACATGGTGATCTCGACGAGGAGCGCCATCTCAGCAGTGCCGCCACCAGTTCCGATGGACACGAGCGCGGTGGAGAAGGCGAGGCGCGAGGCGGCGTGGAAGGGCAAAGGAAAGAAGGGCAAGGAAGGCAAGGGCAGGAAGGGCAAGGGCGGCGACAACTCCACGGACCAGAAGAGCCAGGCGGCCAAGGACAGGGCCGAGAAACGATGCTTCCACTGCCACAAGACAGGTCACGTCAAGAGCGAATGCAGGAAGTTCCTCGCAGAGCAGAAGAAGAAGAAGGGCACCAACGCAGTCGAGCAGGAGTCGAAGCCGACGGGAGCTCCACCAGCGGCGAGCGCCGCGGGGAGCGCGGCGCCAGTGATGGCGATCGCAACCGAGAGCGGGGCAGAGCCATTGTGGTGCCTCGCGATCGAGCTGGGAGAAGGGCAAGAATCATCATCGAGTGGAGCAGCAGCGACGCCCTCAGCACCAGCAACGACAGCGATCCACCGTCGTTCGAGCGGGCCGTCAAACGAGCACGAGCAGCCGAGGCGGCCATCCTTGGTCGGAGCCAGCCCGATCGAGCGGCTGAGCCCGCCAGAGGCGTCAAACGAGCACGCGCAGCCGAGGCAGCCATTCTTGGTCGGGGCCAGCCCGATCGAGCAGCTGAGTCAGCCAGGGGCAGCAAACGAGCACGAGACGTTCGAGAGCAAGGAGATCATCGGTATCAATGAGCACTGGGTCATGGTGGACTCGGGTGCTGCACGATCGGTGTGTCCGCCGAGTCACGGGGCCCACGAGACACTCAGAGACCTGAGCGAGCACATCAGGCTGGTCGGAGCGAGCGGCGACGACATCCCGTGCCACGGCGAGCGCTTCGTCACGTACGCGAAGGGCGGGCACAAGATCGGGGTGGACTACAAGGTCGCCGACGTCAAGAGGCCGGTGCTGGGCGTGTCGCAGGCGGTCGACAAGGGCACGTCGTGGGTATTCACGCCGAGCGGGAGCTACATGATCCCGAAGCCGATCGAGTTCTCGGACCCAGACGCCGTGCCGCTGGTCAGACGCAACGACTTGTTCTACCTCAAGATGGACAGGTACGGTGAAGGCGTCAAGAACTCGCTCGTCATGCCGGTGCGGGGCGAGGGGCCAGGAGGCGAGCCTGGCGGCGCATCAGCTGCGTCCAGGGCAGCGGCGAGGGCCGCGCTCCAGGGCGGCGGCGGCGGAGGGGCTGCCGCGACTCGCGCTCAGGCCGAGGCGAGCGAGCCAGCAGCGCAGGCAGTGCTCGAGGAGTCCGTGCCAGTTCGAGTCAAGAAGGATCCAGTGAAGCCAAGCCTGGCCGAGCAGAGGACGCACGAGCTGGTGCACATCCCTGCGAGGTCCTGGTGTTGGGTGTGCGTCAGATCCAAGTTCACGGACGACCCGCACTACAAGGACGGGCACGAGCGCACAGGCGACGAGGTCCAGATCGACTACTACTTCCTGGGCCAGCTGAGCATCCTCAACATGGTGCATATGAACTCCCAGGCTATTCATGGCATCATGGGGCCGAAGGGTACCGACGCCTACATGGTCAAGACAGCGGTCGCCACCATCGAGAACTGGGGGCTGGATCGCATCGTGCTGAAGCACGACCAGGAGGCGTCGATCACGGCCCTGGCGAGGGAGATCAAGGCTCAGCGGAAGGCGCCCACGATGATCGAGTCGGCTCAGCGGGCTAACCATCAGGGAGTTGGTGGAGTGGAGCGCGCCAACGAGGAGCTCGGCAAGCAGATCAGGGCGCTACTGTTCTCGGTGGGCGACAACTACAAGCGGGAGCTCCCAGCCGAGCATGGGCTTCTACCTTGGCTCATTCGGCACGCTGGCTGGCAGCTCAACCGCTTCACGGTGCACGGCAACGGCAAGACGACCTACGAGGTACTCAAGGGGAGGCCATATCGGGGCGAGCTCGTCAACTTCGCGGAGTGCGTTTGGGCGAGGGACCCCACGCCGACCTCCAAGCTGCAGCCTCGGTGGCACGCGGCGGTGTGGCTGGGCAAGACAGAGGTTTCGGACGAGCACCTGGTGGCGGGTCCGACGCGCACGACAAGGGTACGCACGGTGAGACGGCGGCCGGAGGGCGAGCGGTTCGTGCTGGAGGAGCTGGACAAGTTCGCTGGGGTGCCGTGGGACATGCACCGGGCTCCACAGATCGGCATCGTGCCGACGGGAGCGCCCCAGGTGGAGCCGAACCAGCAGCGGCTGCTGCCGCCACCTCCGCCACCGACAGTGGTCTTGCCAGCCGCGGGCCCGGAGGCGCTGGTGCCACCAGCGATGGTCGGGCCGGCGCCGCCCGCGGGGCCAGGAGGCGCAGGGCTGAGGTCGACGTACATCACGAGAGCGCTGATCGACAAGTACGGCTGGACCCCCATGTGCCCGAGGTGCGTCACAGGCATGGGATCGCACAGCGAGGAGTGCCGGAAGAGGATCGAGAACGAGCTGCGCAAGGAGGAGATGGCCAGGGCAGCGGCGGAGGCCGCGCCCTCGTCGGCAGCGGCGGGGGCTGCGCCGACGCCGGCGGCGGCGGGAGCCGCGCCGGGGCCAGCGGCTGGGGCTGGAGACGGCAGGCCAGGATCGTCCGGGGATGCCAGCATGGCGCCTCGCGACGACCAGGGCGAGGCGTCGGCGAAGAGGCCGCGCCAGACAGCGGCGATCACAGTCGGGTCGCTCGCGGTCGGGGCCTTCGTGGAGATCAATCCCTGCACGTACGAGGGCCTGGACCAGCAGTCCCACGAGGAGCTCGAGACGGTCACGGAGATCGAGAGCTGCGAGCCGCTGGAGATTGGGATGTTCGAGGTCAGCCCCGTCGAGCCGTCGGCGATCACGGTCCTGCCAGACACGGAGAAGCACGTGTGCGACGCGAGGAGCGGGAAGGAGCTCCCCAGGGACCTGGTCAGGCGCGGGCGCGAGGCCGAGATCGAGGAGATGCGGCGACACGGCGTCTTCGAGGAGGTCCGCGTGGCCGAGAGCCGGGGCAAGGTGGTGCGTTTCAAGTGGGTCGAGGACCTGCGCACCAAGGACGGCGCCCCCTTTGTCCGGTCCCGAGGCGTCGCCATGGAGATCAACACGTACGGCCGAGAGGACTGCAACGCGGGCACGCCGCCGATCGCCATCGTCAGGGCGATCGTCTCCTTGGCGGCGACGAAGAAGGGTCGGAGGCATCTCTCGGTGCATGACGTACACGTGGCGTTCTTCCACGCCGACCTCGACGAGTGGATCGTCGTCATCCCGCCTCCAGGACTCAGGAGAGACGGGTACGTGTGGCAGCTCCGGAAGGCCATGTACGGCACGCGCAAGGCGGCACAGGCTTGGCAGGAGTACGTGGCCGGGGTGTTCAAGAGGAACAACTGGACGCGCATCGCGGTGGCGGCGGGCGTGTACCACGAGCCTCTCTTGGACATGACCTCGGCGATCCACGGTGACGACATCCTGACCGAGGGCGAGGAGGAGTCCCTGGATGTCCTGGACCAGCAGCTGATGGCGAGCATGGACGTCAAGTGCATCGGTCGTGTCGGACCGGATGGCGTCCGTGAGCTCCCGTACCTCAAGCGCAAGATCAGGTGGACGGGCAAGGGGTTCGTCTGGATCGGCGACACGAAGCACGTGACGAGGTGCGTGGAGCTGCTGGGCCTTACGGAGTGCAAGCCAGCGGACACGCCTGGGAGCAAGGCCACGGGCAAGAGCGTCCGGGAGGCGCTGGACCCACTTCCACACGACGAGGCGAAGCTCTACCAGCAAGTCGCGGGGCTCGTCAACTACGTGGCGGTAGACAGGCCAGACATCCAGTTCGCGGTGAAGGTGATCCTCACAGACATGGGGAAGCCCACAGTCATCAGCATGCTTAGGCTGAGGCGGTGCGTGCGGTATCTCCACGGTCGGCGCGAGCTCGGGTGGTTCTACGAGAAGCAGGAGATGCCCAAGGCGGTTCTCTACGAGACGGACTCGGACTGGGCGGAGGATGAGATCACGAGGAAATCGACCAGCTCCGTGTACGGCTTCTTTGGCAGCCACCTCCTGGAGACCCAGGTGGCATCGCAGCCCGTCGTCGCGCTCAGCAGCGGAGAGGCCGAGTTCTACGCCATCGGCCGAGGCGCGGCGAGTGCGATCATGATGCGGCAGTTCTACCAGCAGTGTGGCATCGAGGTCGCGTCGAAGGTTCACAGCGACTCGAATGCAGGCAGGGCGATCGCGACGCGGATCGGCAGTGGCAAAGTACGGCATCTACAGATACGAGACCTGTGGGTGCAGGAACGAGTCAGGCTCGGCGAGCTACAGCTCGGGCGAGTCGACACGGAGAGCAACAGGAGCGACTTGGGGACCAAGCATCTGGACGGCAAGCGGGTGCTCAAGTTGCTGGAGATGTCCAACCTGCGGCTTCTGACCAAGGGGCTCGCCGCGGGCATGGGCGTCACTTTCACGGAGGCGGCCGAGTACGGAGACAAGCAGTGCTCCACGGCCGCTGACGACGAGGTCGAGTCGAACATCGGCTCGATCGTTCTCGCCATGATCGTGTTCATCATCGTGCTGGTGCTCGCGGTCAAGGGCGCAGTTGTGTGCACGAGAGGGGCGGTGCAGCTCTTCTCATCTAGGGCGGCGAGTGCTGCCCCACCAGCGGGAGCGGCGAGGGCTGCCCCGCAGGCCGACGGCACGGCGAGGCCCGAGGCGGCGTCGAAGGACGCGCCTGAGGGGCATGTCGTTTCTCGGGCAGCGGCGATAGCTGCGCCTGAGCGGGTCGCCGAAGGGCGAGACCTCGGTTCGGAGTACTTCGGGGAGATGCTGGCTGAGGCCACCGTGGCAGAGCTCAAGGAGGAGCTCAGGTGGCGGAAGCTGCCAGTGAGCGGCTTGAAGGCGGACCTCATCGTCCGTCTGACGAGGGACGGCGGCCAGCACATCAGCAGTGAGGGGCTGGCTGCAGCGGCATGGGCCGCGCGGCTGGTTCCAGGCAGGATGCCTATCCGAGCGTTCCGCTCGGATGCGAGTTTAGGCTCGCACCTAGGCGCGCTTCTCAGCAGCACGGGGTAGGTCCGTGCCGAATGCAAGACCCTTTGAGGGCCACCCAAGACGGGTGAGGGCGCGGCCAGAGGCCGCTCCTTTGAGCCGAGGGCGCGCGTCAGGCGCAGGCGCGCGGAGTCACGGCGGGGACGCCCGCTTTGGCTTGAGCTTGAGCCTTCAGAAGGGAGGCTCGAGCCGCAGTACAGAGAAGATGCAAGGCGATGCGCTCGCCCGCATCTTGGAGGCGTGTTGACTGTACATGCTAATCTGTAGCCCCTTGGTCCAAGTAAAAACCATCGACAGAGAGAGAGAGAGAGAGAGAGAGAGAGACAGATAGAGAGAGAGAGAGAGAGAGAGAGAGATCGCGGGCCGAGAGGGCAGTTTTTAATCCATGGGATTTTGAAAGCTATAGGATTTTTTTTTTTTTTTTTTTTTTTTTTTTTTTTTTTTTTTTTTTTTTTTTTTTTTTTTTTTTTTTTTTTTTTTTTTTTTTTTTTTTTTTTTTTTTAATACGTGATTCGTTTATGAATGAGAACGTATGCATGAACTCATGGCTGTTCCTAATACCAAGTCCCTGCATTTTTGATATCTGATCCTCACGCGGAGCATGTATTGAAACCGCCACTGTAGAGGTTGACACCAGCACCGAGGGAAGAGGATCACGATCTCGGCGACGGTGGTAATATTTCGGCTTCCAAGGTGACCGACACATCACCACCAGCACCAGAATCTAGGATCATTTCCCCTGTGGAGGCAACCCCCTGTGTCGGTGCTGGTTGCCCATTTCCAGGACTCCAGAGAGAGAGAGAGAGATATAGAGAGAGAGAGAAGATCAGAGGAATAACATCTACTAACACGCCGACCTTTCCGTGTTTTCCTGGGAAGCCTTCGTCGCCACCGCTGGATTCGCCTCCACATTCTGTTCAGAACGCGCCCGAGGATAGGTCTGGGGAGTAGCGGTATCGGTACCTTTCGTTTCTCGAGAGGAGGATGATATGGACGGGAAAGAGACGAAGGGTTGGAAGACGAGTGGGGGATAGGACGGGGGTGAGGGGGGACTGGGAAGCTGCAGCACGCGGACGAGCAGCAGCGCGGGCAGCTGCAACAGCGACGGGCGTGGACGAGGTGCAGGTCGGGCCCCTGACGTGAACGAGCAGCACGACGTCCAGCTTCGTCTTCCGCACGGCTGCCGGGGGGCTTGCCTCGCCCTCGCAGCCTCGGCGTCCACGGCGGCGCTGCAGGACGGGTGCCAAAAGTACACGGCCGTGCACGTCGACGGCCAGCAAGACGCCAATCATGACGGAGAGCATGACGTAGACCCCCCCCCCATCTCTACCCACGACGGCGAGGCGCAACGTCGTGGCGGTGAGTTAGGCGCCAATCGAGGATCCGATGCGAGAACGAGGGCCGACCAGGTGGAGGGTCTCAAAGGCTCTGATCAGAACGACGACGACGTGGGCGAGGATGATGTAGGAGAGGAGCAATCGCAGGCATTCGCCCCGCGCGGCACGAGCGGAAGGGCCTCGACGGACAGTCTCACGAACCATCCTGTGGGCCTCAGTACCACGACACTGAGCAGCACGGCGCGGAGCAGCAGGACGACATCGGCATCCCCTATGTGAACAGGCCCAGCTCCGATTTCGTCGATGCTGTGATGCATCTTGGGCAACAGCAGCAGGTGGAGGAGCTGCAGGATGGGCAGCAGCAGGAGAGCCACCTTACGGCGGAGGATGACTCGAGCTGCCCGCAGTGTTCGCCATCCACTGCTACGCTGTGAATCGGGTGTCAGCAATACACGACACTCTGTCGTTGCATGCCTTTCACCTCTCTGCCGCACTCGCGCGGCAACCCGCCTAATGATGTCCGCCACCGTGCCCTTGGGCACGGGTCCTCATGTCCTTTTGCCAAATCCTTGGAGCTTGTCCCCAGTCCTGAGGAGTCAAGTGGCCCTGACCCCAATTTCCGAAAACTCATGGGGCTTGTCGCGTTGCCCCCAGGGCTCCCCCCGCGGCCTGTCGCATGACTTTCCCAGGCCCAGAAGGCCCCAACATGAGCCAAGAGTGCCCCAAGAGGCCCCGAAGACGGTCCAAGGGGGCTACGAGTCGCCGAACGATCGCCGCAATACGCTCAAGATGGCCCTCAGACGGCCCAAGAAGCAGCCAATACGGCCCAAAAGGCCTCGAAGAGGCTTCCCAAGAGGGCCCCAAGGGGCAACCTCTTTCATTTCCATATGTTTTTGACGGACTATGGAGTTCTCACCTTTTCGGTTTTCCGACGCTCTAAGACGGCCCAAGAGGCCCTAAAGACCATCCCGAAACGGCCCAAGAGGCCTCCAAGAGGGCCCCGAGACGGCCTGAGAGTGTCCCAAGACGGCCCACGAGCCTCCCCAGACAGCCCAAGAGGGCCCCAAGACGGCCCCAACAGGGGCCCAAGATGGGGCACACGAAACGAAAATCCGAGCCAGGCCTGGCCGACTGGCCTGGAGCCACAGGGCGAGTTCGGGGTTCTCCTCAGCGCCAGCTCCATCTGCAGCCCAGCTCCCGATCAGCTCAGCGCCGACGCACGTCGCGGCGGCCACGGCGGCCGCGATGCCGTGCCTCGTAGTGCCCCCCCCCGCTGCCGCGCCTTTGTCAACCGCTCAGACTAGCGGCATCAGGGCGGCAACAGCGTTCAGTGCTGCGCCTGCCATGAATGCCCAACCAGCGTGAAGTTCGAAGGGTCCGAACTGAGAGAACAGCTGCCCGAACAGCGCGAAGCTCGAACGGAAGGAAGGAATGATGATGATGATGATGAGGACGATGATGATGATGGTGATGATGCTGATGATCGTGGTGGTGGTGGCGATGGTAATGTTGGTGACGATGGTTATGTTGATGTTGATGGTGATGCTGATGCTGATGCTGACGTGGATGTGGATGCGGTTGCTGCTGCCGCTGATGATGCTGATCAGGATGATGATGCTACGAATGCTGATGCTGAGGATGTTTACGACGGCGAGGCTGGTTCTGTTGCTGTTGCTGCTGATGATGATGGGGATGCTGAACCGGCTGATGATGCTTATGCATTTGCTGCAGCTGCTGCTGATGATAATGATGATGCTGATGCCGATGATGCTGTTGCTGATGCTGATGCTGATGGTGCTGACGATGATACGTATGATGGTGATGCTGAGGATTTCAAGGATACCCAGGATGAAGCTGAGGATACGGATGAGGATGAGGCTGCGGCTGATATTGATGATGATTATGATGCTGCTGCTCCTAATCATGATGATATGCTGTTGGTGATCTCACTGATGATGATGATGGTGGTGATGCTGATGATGATGATGATGATGGTGACGATGATGCTGCCGCCGATGATGATGATGCTGCTGTTGCTGCTGACGGCGATGATGATGCTGATGCTGACGTTGTTGCTAATGATGAGTATGCTGATGGTGATGTGGACGATGACGATGATGCTGACGATGACGATGACGATGATGCTGACGATGCTGCTGCTGATGCTGATGCTGATGATGCCGATGAGGATGCTGATGATGACCATGATGATGATGGCGGTGCTGAAGTCGATGCCGATTCTGATGATGACGACGATGATGATGCTGATCATGACCACGTTCTTGATGCTGATTCTGGTGATGCTGGAGGTGTCATTAACATATTGTACCAGCTGCTGCTGATGAGTCTACTGATGACGCTGATCATGATTATGCTGCAGATGACGACGATCATGATGATACTGATGATGATGATGATGATGATGATGATGATGATGGTGCTGCTGATGATGATGCTGCTGCTGAAGCTGATACTCATGCTGATGCTGATGATGATGGTGGTGGAGGTGGTGGTTGTGCTGATGGTGGTGATGATGGTGATGGTGATGGTGATGGTGATGGTGATGGTGATGGTGATGGTGATGATGATGATGATGATGATGATGATGATGATGATGATGATGATGATGATGATGATGATGATGATGATGATGATGATGATGATGATGATGATGATGATGATGTGATGATGATGATGATGATGATGATGATGATGATGATGATGATGATGATGATGATGATGATGATGATGATGATGATGATGATGATGATGATGATGATGATGATGATGATGATGATGATGATGATGATGATGATGATGATGATGATGATGATGATGATGATGATGATGATGATGGTCATGATGATGATGATAAGGCTGCTGTTGCTGATGATGATGCCGATAGCGATGGCGATGGTGAGGATGACCATGGTGGCGGTGATGATGTTTATGACGATGATGACGATGATGCGAGGAGCAGGGGAGGAGGACGACGGTGGTAGTGATGGTGATGATTCATATTATGTTGTTGGCGTTTGTGGTGCTGGTGGTGGTGGTGGTGCAGATGATGATGCGGAGGAGGAGGAGGCGGAGGAGGAGGAGGGGGCGGAACAGGGGGTTCAGCATGAGTGGGAGGAGGCGGAGCGGGTGAAGAAACGGAGGAAGAGGGGTCGATCGCCCAGGTGGTCGATCAGATACGGGCGCAGTTCGATACCCTCGCCAACAAGACGTCCGGCGGAGCGGATACGAGCCTTGCGAACAACGAGGGCATTCAGGCGCTGCAGAAGATGCTGCGCAATAACAGAATGGACACTGGGGCGTTCCAGAAAGTCGAGAAACAACCAACGACATCTAGACTGTACACTGCAACTCTCGGAGCCCCGCGCGGACTTCTTGGGCCTGCGCAGGGGCCCCCGTTGCTGCGCCCCTGGCGCCGCCTCGCGGCTCCGCCCACTGGCGCGCCAGAGGCGGCGCCGGGCAGGGGGCTTCAGCGCTTCGATCCTCCGCGCGGAGCTCCGAACGTATATGTTTATGAGAAGGACTGATCTGGGGGCTCCCCGCCCCGAGATCAGTCGGGTGTGTGTGTGTGTGTGTGTGTAGATTCTAGTATTATTTTTCCGTCTTCGTCTTCCTTCTTCCTCGTTTTCCTTCCCTCTCATCCTCCTCCTATGCCCTCCTTCTCTCGGT